GAGAGAGGGGAAGAGCTTGTGCAAAGGCCCTGGGGCAGAGGGAGTGTTCAAGGCTACCAGAATTAAAAGGTCAGTGTGGCTGGTGTATAGACAGCAAGTAGGGAGCAGAGGGGGGGCCTCAAGAGGTGTGGGAGAGGGAGGCAGGGACTTCAGACTATGTTGGACTTGCATTCTGGGCTCAAGAATCTTGTGTTTCTCTTCAGACGGATGAGAAGTTACTGGGGAGTTCAAATAGGGAAGAGACCATGACCAGATTTGCATTTGAAAACAATTACTTTGGCTACCCAGTGAAGGGCAGAGCTGGAAAGGGTGTGGGTAGGATGATGACGGGAGTTTGCAGTCATCCAGGGAAGAGAGGTGCTGATGGTATCTGCCAGGGAGGCGTTCATTGATATATTCATTCAACAAATAGCTGGGGAGCCACCTCCGTGCCAAGCTCTGTTGCTGTTAGAGACGGAAGAGCTAAACAAAGTATAGATGAAAATGTGTGCCCTTGTGGAGATTACCTTCTGGAGGTGGGAGACAGTGTTAAAGTGGTGCTACTGCTTACTGAGAAAAACAGAGTTGGAAGGAAAAAGAATAACAGTTGGAGGACTTCCTGGTGGTCCAGTAGCTGAGACTCTGTGCTCTCAACGCAGGGGACCAGGGTTTGATCCCTGGTTGGGAAACAAGATCCCACATGTCACAACTAAGACCTGATGCAGCCAAATAAAATATATATAAAATCAAAATTTAAAATATATGATATATATATGTATGGAAACTGGAATGGCTGGGTTGCTGTTGACTGAGATAAGGAAAATGGGAAGAGGAGCAGGGTTTTGGCGAGAAAGATCAGGAGTGCAGTTTGGGATGTTAAATTTGGGTCATCAGTAAGACATCCAGGGGTGTCAGGGAGGCAGTTGCATGTTGGGGGGGAGAAAATTTTTTAAAAAAAGAATTCAGTTGGAAAGGAGAGGGAAACTTCACCTACAGTTTGTAGTTTTAAAGAGGGGATCAGGGAAGGCTTGACCGAGAAGTGACCCTCGGGTGAAGACCTGAAGGGGGTGAGGGAGTAAGACATGCAGGATCCTGGGGCAGAGAGTTCTGGCCGAGGAAACAGTGAGCGCAGCACCCGAGGCAGGAGCGTGCCCGGCACAAATAAGGAGCCGTGGCCCAGAAGAGACGGGGAGGAAGAGAGGAAGCCCAAAGGTAATGGGCCGCAGAGCACGGATCCTGAAGGGCCTTGAAGGCCATCAGTTGCCTTTGGTTTTTCCTCCCTTGAAGTGTGGGGCGTCTTTGGAGGATCTTGTCAGTTCTCCAACCAGGAACTGAACCCAGGCCACGGCAGTCAAAGCCTGGAATTCCAACTACTAGGCCACCAGGGAACTCTCAATCTGACTGATTCCTTTTTTTTTTTTTTAATTGGAGGCTAATTACAATATTGTGGTGTTTTTTGCCATACACTGACATGAATCAGCCATGGGTATACATGTGTCCCCCCCTGCCCTGTCCCGAATCCTCCTCCCCCGACTGATTCTTGAACAGAATCATTCTGCTGCTTTGGTGAGAAAAGACCCAAGGGGAACAGAGGATGGCAGGGGGAGTCTTTCATGAGAGATGATAGAAGATGACAAAAGTGGACCAAGATGACAGAAATGGAGCTAGAAGTGGCTGGATTCAGAATATACCGGGCATGTGGAGCCAAAAAGATTTAGTGAGGCATGAGACAAGAAAAGATCCTAAAATGACTCTGAAGACTTTGGGCCTGAGAAACTGGAAGGGCTGGGATGCCATTGACTGAGATAGAGAAAACTGGAGGAGCAGGGCCTGGCAAGGGAAGATCAGGAGCTGAGTTTGGGATGTTAAATTTGGGGCCTCAGGAGGACATCCAGGGTTGTCAGGTAGGGAGTTGCATGAGCGAAACCAGCACTCAAGGGAGAGGTCTGGGCTGGAGATACAAATCTGGTTGTCATCAGCAGAGTGATGGTATTTAAAGCCATGAGTCTGGATGAGGTCATCAAAGGAGTATGTGCAGACTGAAGAGAGACGAGGTCTTCACTGGGCCCTGGGGCGCTCCAGTGCTAAGAGGTTAGGAAGTTTAGGAGGGACTGGCAAAGAAGCCCAAGAAGTCACAGCCAGCAAGGGGAAGGAAAACCGGGTGAGGGTGTTGTCTTCAGGGCCAAGGGAAGGAAGAGCACCGAGGGCTCAGCCCTGTCAGATGCGGCTGAGAGGTTAGTAGGGTGAGGCCCAGGAAGTGGCTGCTGACTCAGCAATGTGGATGTCACTGGTGTCCTTGAGAAGAGCCGTGTCATGGAGCAGTGGGGATGAAGGCCTGCCCCAGTGGGCTCTTGTGGCAGAGATGGGGAGAAGTAGACCAGTTCTTCCGGGAGTGCTGTTTGGTAAGCTCCTGCCAGGTACCGGAGGTGATGTGCCTACTCACCATAGCTCCCAACACCACAGGCCCCACATTGGGAAAACCGGAGCTCAGACCTGCCTGACTGAAGCCGGACACCTTCTTCCCTGCTGCATCTGAGCGCCAGATGCAGGCCCTTCCAGGCCTCATCCCTCCACTTCCTCCCAGACTCCCCTTCACATGGCAGGTCTAGTCAGAAGCTAACTGGAGAGACTCACTGTCTTGCCTGCTGGGTGTGATTTGCCTTGGTGCAGAAAAACACCTGCCTACCAGTTTTCCTTGCAACACCTGTAGCCTGCACAGGTGCCAGGAGAATGGCAATAAACAGGCCTCACCCTCAGCCTTCAAGCTTTGTGCTTACGTACCTAGGCCCTTTGACCCCAGACAGTCCTGTGTTCAAATCCTGCCTCTGCCACCTACTAGTTCTATGACCTTGAATGAATCATTTAGTGGGGTAAGCGTTGATGGTCTCTTCTGTTCAACGAGGGTAAGACTCTCCCAGAGTTCATATGGAGATGCAGGACGGGGCTACAACGTGCCCGGCTCAGCTCTCGGCGTGTAGGAAGCGTTCACTAAAAGACTGCCCCTAGCTTCCTTGCCCACCGGGACTGTGGAGGGGTCTTCAGGTGGTTGGGAAGTAGACTAGCAGTGACCAGGCAGCCTTTTGGAGCTGGTGTGGGGAGGGCCTGGCAGAGTGGGAGGGACCACTGGGGAGACAGGGCCTTGGCTGGGGCTCATGCCTGGAACCCAGGAATCTAGAAGGGCAGGAATGAGGGGAAAATAGTGTGAGCCTCAGACGGTGTCATTGTGTAACATGTGTTACCTCACACTGCCTTATGCAGAGGCCGGCGGGTGTGGGGGTTAGAGCAGGGGCACTGGTGACCAACACTGGTTCAAGTCCTGACTCCTTCACTTCCCAGCTGAGTGGCCTCAGACTTCACTTAATTTCTTTTCGCTTTACTCTCCTCCTCTATCTCAAAGAAATATTTACAGTGCCGCCTTTAGAAGTATTGTCATAAGAATTCAAACTAATGTGTGTAAAATACTGTCCCCATAGGAAGCTCTCAAGAAATATATGCATGTTAGTGGTTACTGTTGCTACTAATGCTCATCACAGGCCTACTGTCTGCATTTTACAGAAGAGGAACTATGGCACACAGAGGGCCTGTAACTAGTCCAAGGTCACACAGTCACTGGGGAGGCCGGATAGTTAAATAGTCTGCCTTCGTCAGAGCCCACTGGACACCCGTCTCCCTGAAGAGGGTCCCCAGAGTTCCAAAGTCGACTCCTAGAGTGTCCTCTCTCTGTTCACACATTGTCACCCACAGGGAGGGGGAGTTGATCACCTCCTGAGAGGACCACCGTTCCTAGCAGAAGGCCCCGCGTGATGGAGGCACGTGGTGAGAGCGAAAAATGCTCCTTTCGATTGGCCTTTCCATGGGCTGTGGCCCTGATCCCTCAGCCCAGGCAGCGGGTGTGTTCCCCATCTGTCCCCTCAAGCTCCCTAGACGGCAGCAGTCGATGGCACCAGGGCTCAACGTGCAGAGGCTGCCGTTTGGCAGCTTCATAAGACAAACAGGAGGAGAGGGGGAAGTGTTGTGTCCTGGCCCGTGAACTGTTCCAGCCACTTCACTGACATCCCTACCAGCTTGGGCTTTTATAGTCCCCATTTTACAGATATGAAAACTGAGGCTTAGAGAGGTTGAGTGGCTTGCCCTAGGTTACCAAGGCCCTCTCTTCCTATCTTGGGGTGGTGAAGTCAGAATCGGGGCCTCGGCTGGCTGACCCCTAAGCCCGTCCTTCAGTTGCTCACACGTGTGTGCATGAACGTGTATACATCAAATCATGTGGCTTCCTTCCTTGGCACTTTGGTGTCTTTTACAAGGACCCTGAAATATTAACCTCCTACAAGAAGAAATCTGAGGGTGGCTGGGAAAGAAAACAAACAGTGAAATGGATGTAGCCAGTTGCCTACCCTGTTGGAGACCCCAGCTGGGCATCCCACTGTGCCCCTGCTTAAATCTTTCCTCCCGGCCAGTCCCAGGCACGCCCTGAACACTGGGTGTTGGGATGGGTCCTGTGACCCCAAGGGAAAGCAGAAAGGTGAGGAAGGCAGACGTGGAGACCAACCTTTACCATGTAGTCCACTAATTACCCCCAACTTCTCAGTTTTACCAATACACCCTTCTCCCTCTGCCCCTTTGCAAATGCTCTTCTCTTTGCCAGAACCCTCTCTGCCTTGGTTTGCTAACTCCAGCTCATCCTATACCTCAGCTTGGCTCTTACTTCTGCAGGAAGCCCCCTCAGTATAGGTTAGCCATCTCTGCTTTGCTACTCCAGACATAGTACTTATTCTATACTGTAATTGCCTCGCTGTCTGTCTGTCTGCCTTGCCAGAGTGTGGGCTCTGCAGACGCAGGGACTGTGGCCATTTTCTCACCATTACATCATTAGTGTCTGGAACAGGGCCTGGCACATAGAAGGAACTTGATAAACATGTACGAATAAATGAATATCAACTGGACAAGGGAAAGAGCTACATGTTGAACTGATGGTAACAGATGTTCTGTCTCACTTTCTCGCCTCTCTTGTGTTTTACTTCCAGTTATGGCAGCCAGGACCCCTCCAGAGCCAAGACCCTCTCCAGAAGGTGACCCCTCCCCACCGCCGCCACCACCACCAATGTCAACCCTGGTGCCCGACACTCCCCCAGACACGCCTCCCGCCATGAAGAACACCACTAGCCCCAAGCAGCTTCCACTGGAACCAGAGAGCCCCCCGGAGCTGGTAGGGCCTAGGCCAGCCCCCCAGCAGGAAGAGTCCCCTTCCTCAGAAGTGAAGACCAGGGGACCCACCCCACCAGCCACGGGCCCACGGGATGCCAAGCCTCCTCGAAGGAGCAGCCAGCCATCCCCGCCAGCAGCACCCACCTCCGACAGCCCTCCCACCAAGCAAGGTATGTGTGATGTCCCTCGTCCCGGGCCCAGTCCCAGCCCTGGGTGATGCCCCCAGAGGGAGTCTCCTGGGCCCCGGAGGAGATGGAAAAGGCATGTGACTGAGGCCTGGGGGCAGGGCCCTGAGGCTGACTCCCCTTTGAGGGGAACCTCGTGACCGAAGTCTCTCCTTATTCCTTTTGTTAAGACGTAAAGAAGGCAGGAGAGAGACACAAGCTGGCAAAGGAGCGGCGGGAAGAGCGGGCCAAGTACCTGGGTAAGTGCGTGACAGCTCCCCTTCAGCCTCACCCCCATGGACATCCTGTTAGTAGCACTAACCCTTTGGGAACCTCTGTTATGTACACTGTGCTAAGAACAGTCCGTTTATCTCCCTCAACCCTGTACCCATTTTGAGGATGGGGAGACAGAGGCTCGGAAAGATGAAACCCTTTGCCTAAGCCACACAGCTAGGTGGGAGAGCTGAGATTCAGACCCAGAAGCCTCATCTCACCCCATGCTCTTAATCACAATATATCAGCAGGCCCCGAAGTTAGACAGGGACTGGGGCCTAAAGAGCTCACTTCTCCTTGGGTGCCCAGAGACCACGAAACTAGTGGCGGGGGTGGGGAACAGGCCTCCCGCCTGTGAAGCCCTCATTCTGAGGCCTCAGCCCACCTTTAGCATGCCCTTCAACTTGAGCGGGGGAGTCTCAGAGCACAGGGACCTCCCCACCAGGCAGGCAGAGGGAAAGACCCACCCCGGGCTGGAGGAACAGGCAAGGCCACTCGGAGCAGACACTTGGATGTTCACACCCCCGGGGTTCCTTTCCCCCGCTGCAGCAGCCAAGAAGGCAGTGTGGCTGGAGAAGGAGGAGAAGGCCAAGGCACTGAGGGAGAAGCAGCTCCAGGAGCGCCGGCGGCGGCTGGAGGAGCAGCGGCTCAAAGCCGAGCAGCGCCGGGCTGCCCTGGAGGAGCGGCAGCGGCAGAAGCTGGAGAAGAACAAGGTGCGTTTGTGCTGGGTCCTGGCCAGGCGCGTGTGGCTCTGTGTGCACACATCTGCATGCAGGCTCGGTGTGTTCACACGTCTGTGTTCACACGTGCAGTCCAGTCCCATGGGGCCTACATCTCAGCATCTGTTCAGGCACGTTTGGTTCTGTGCGTGCCAGGATAGGCGCCTGTAGCCGTGTGCTGTCATTACATGTGTGTGTGCGTGCCCCGGATGGGTGTGTGTAGGTGTGCAGAGATGTGTCTGTGTGAGTGCGCCAAGTGAACTCCTAGTGAGGTAAACCCTGGCTTGAGCACTTTGAAGAAATGAAGGGAAAGGGGGCCTGGCTCTGGTCCAGTCCTCAGGCCAAACGCAAACCCAGCTCCAGGGTCAGAACCCTCAGTGCCAGGGGCCCACCTGGGAGACCCGGGCAGGGGGAGTCCCACCCGGTCCTCAGAGAGACAGCTCATAGGCTCAGGAAATGAGTCAAGAACAATGAAAAGCTCCCCAAGAACAAGTTGAAAGGGATCTGTTGCAAACTGTCTTTAGTCACAGCGAGGCCTCAGTAGCCTTGGTTACCTGCCATGAGTCAGGGAAACATGCTGGGGTGGGGGCAGCATTGTCCTGGGAGAGAGCCTTTCTCCCAGGTAGGAGGCAAGCTGCTGAGCCCAGACCTCTCCCCCCGGCCCCCTCCCCACCAGGAGCGCTATGAGGCAGCCATCCAGCGGTCAGTGAAGAAGACGTGGGCTGAAATCCGGCAGCAGCGCTGGTCCTGGGCAGGGGCCCTGCACCACAGCTCCCCAGGACGTAAGACCAGTGAGTGGGCTGGAGGGGCTGCAGGGTGGGAGGGGGAGGCTGGGGCCTGAGGAGTGGGGGAAGGGAGCAGCTTCCATGCCAGGAGCTGGCAGCTCCCTGCAGCAGGTATGCCTTGCTTCATGTGCCTTGTGTCTTCTGGAATGATCTGTAAACCCAAGTCTGTAGAACCAAGTCCTGTCCAAGGACTTCCACTATCAAGTCAGAGGTGGGTGCTCTTCATTCGGTTTGCTCTTTTTAGATTAGCCTTCTTTGCTCCTGTCAATTACTATTAGTTGATTGATACAGAAAAGAGCACTTTAATACCCTGCAGACACTGGATATTTAAAGAAAACTATCACCCCAATGTACCTGTCATGGAAGGTAGATTTTTGTCTCTGAGTTTTCTTTACGTAGGGCTATCATGGATTTTGGTCTGACATTTTGCTGGCATGTATGTACTGCTGTGTTTGGATGTCTTTATGTAATGGCAAGATTCGGTATTTCTCGTTGTACATCTTTCGGTGTATATGCTCATAGATCTGTGCGTTGCGTGTCTTAGTACGTGTTTGCCTTGATGTGTGAGTCGCCTTGTGTACCTCACTGTGGTCTCCCAAGTCAGACAGAATTGGGTCTGGATTCCCAGCTCCGGCCCTTGCGGTGTGACCTCTGACTTCCTGCTCTCTCACTTTCTTTATCTGTAAAATGGGGATAACAGTACTCCTTGCCTCCGAGGTTGTAGGTAGATGTTTGGGAGGATCAAGTGTGGTAACATGTGTGTGGTGCCCAGCACAGTGCCTGGTACGTGGTAAGCACCCAACAAATGTTACAAATATGATTAAGTTGCTTTGGTGCGTTGGTGCCCGTCTGCATCTGGGTCTGAGCCTTTTTCTGTGGCTGTTTGTGTCTCTGTGTCTGTGCATGTCTGCACTATTGGGTGCATGCACAAGTACCTGTCACTCTATATGCCCGTGCGTGCATGTCTTTGTCTTTGTGTGTCCCTGTGAATATGTGAATTTGTGTGCGCGCGTTTGACCATGGGTCCTTCTGTTTAGGAGCATCTGTATTTGCTGCAGGACCATGGGTGTTGTAGCCAGAGTGCCTTGGCTGGGCAGTGTCAGCAAGTGCCAATGCTGGGTGGTTGTGGGGGAGGGGCTGCAGCACCCTAGGGAGTGACTTCCTGGCCAGGAAGGCTGTAGCGTCTCCAGTTTTATTCCATCTCCTTCCTCTGTTCCTTTTCCGTCAGCTCCCCAATCCAGGTTGTCTCTGGTCACCTACCCATCCTCGCCTCCAGAGCCAAGTCTGCCTCCTCCCCACCTCCCTAGCCTGCCCACTCCTCCCTCTCCCACCCTGCCCGCGGAGCATCCTGCATGGAAGGCCTCAGTGCCCCCCCTGGCTCCCGTCCGGCCCGGCCCTAATGCCGTGTCTTTTCCCCTCCAGGTGGGAGCAGGTGCTCCGTGTCGGCAGTAAACCTGCCCAAACACGTGGACTCTATAATCAACAAGCGGCTCTCAAAGTCCTCTGCCACGCTCTGGAACTCCCCCAGTAGAAGTAAGAGAAGGCCCAGCCCTCCTTCCTCCAGAGCTCCTTGTAGTCCCCTCCTGGTAGCCTCTTCCAGAGCTCAGCAAAAACCTCAGGTCCCAGGAGCCCTCACACACCCCAGGTCTCCACCCCCACTCAACCCCGCTTGGGGTTGTGCACCCCTCAGGGAGCCGGCACTTGGATCTGGCTCCTGAGAACAGAGGTGCCGACAGGGGAAGAGAACAGAGGGCAGTGACCCAGCAGACAGAGAGCCTGGCTAGAGCCTCAAGAGCAGGTGGGGATGAGAGTGGGGGTGGAGGGTGGGAATGGGCCGGCAGCCTCATCTCCAACCACAGCCAGCTGGCCTAGGCCAGCCTCAGGCAGGTGGCCTTGCCCGGGAGCAGCCGACGAGCCTGGGTGCTGTGTGTGCAGGAGCCCTTATTCTGCCTCCACCCTGGAGGGCCCACGCAACCCTGCCCTATCTGCCTTCAGAGCCCCAGCCATGGCCTTGGCTGGTTCCAGACTCATGGCCACCCAGGGTAGCGCAGCCCCTGCGTCCCCACCATGCCCTGATGTCACAAGTGAGGGGCCTGGTAGGAGTTATTTATAAGTTTCTCCAGCTTTTATTTGGTTGCTTTGTTGCCCAGCAACGAAATCAGCTGCTGTTACCAGCCCCACCTGACTGAAGCTTAAAAATAACCCAGCAGCTGAGGGGACAGAGCAGGGCGGCCCGGGGCAGCCAGGCCCCCTAGCAGCCTCTCCCTGGCATGGGAGACACAAAAGCTGGGCCTCTTCTCAGTCAGAGGAGCACAAGGGCCCTGACTGTCCCAAATCCCATGGGGGGCGGAGAGGGGGGCTGCGAGCAATGCCTCCCTAGGCCAGCACTCTGAGGGCAGGAGGAGCAGAGCCCTATAATGGGACATAGAAGTTGGCAACTGGGTACATCACCAACCTTGGCTGTCTCCTCTCTATAATCATAGTTCAGTGCCCTTTCACCTGGGGAGAGAGGTAGGAGGGACCTCTCTAGCCCTGCAGGAGGTTGCCATGGGAAGCGTCTTGTTGCCTGGGTCTGCGGTGGGGGTCAGACCCCAGGGCGGACAAGTGTAACCCCCATGACTAGGGGGAGAGTCTTAGACTCCTTGGGCTCCACGTGGGGATGTACCTGGCCGTACCGGATGCCTCTGCTTGCCCACTCTAGCCCTGCAGTAACCTGCTTCTCCCGGCATTCTCCCCCTAGATCGCAGCCTGCAGCTAAGCCCGTGGGAGAGCAGCATCGTGGACCGTCTGATGACGCCCACCCTCTCCTTCCTGGCACGGAGTCGCAGTGCGGTCACACTGCCCCGAAACGGCCGGGACCAGGGTAGGGGCCGCGGCCCTGGGAGAGCCCCCTCGAGGGGCGGGGCAGGGGCCAGCCACGCCAGTGGACCGCGCCCCGACCGCAGTCATCCCTCCGCAGCCGTGCCCCTGTGCCCGCGCTCAGCCTCCGCCAGCCCGCTGACGCCGTGCAGCGCCCCCCGAAGCGGGCACCGCTGCGCCCCCGCCGGGGAGCGCGGGGATCGCCGCAAGGCCGGCGCCGGGGGCAGCCCCGCCCCGGCTCGCCTCCGGCCCGAGGCCTCGCCGGTGAGTGGCTGGCGGCGCAGGTGGGGGCTCGGCTCCTGTGCTGGGGAGCTCGGGCGCTTCTGACCCCTGTTTCCCCTCTCCCTGCTCTCCTTAACCCTCCTCCCCAGGTGCAGAAAAAGGAGAAGAAGGACAAGGAGCGGGAAAACGAGAAAGAGAAGAGTGCCCTGGCCCGGGAGCGCAGCCTCAAGAAGCGCCAGTCGCTGCCTGCTTCTCTGCGCCCGCGCCTCTCCGCTGGCAACGCGGAGCACAGGTGGGCCCGACAATGGGGCAAGGCCTGCTACCGCCAGGCCAGCTAGCCAGCCATTCATTCATAAATATGTGTCATGCATATTTGCCAGCCATTCATTCATAAATATGTGTTGCTCTAGAGGAGCCTGGCAGGCTACAGTCCATGGGGTCGCAAGAATCCCAAATGACTTAGCGACTAAACAACAACCCACCTCTAGAAAGAAAGCTCCTTGAGAGCAGAATTTTTTATTTTTCTGGAGTGTTTTGATCACTGAAGTACCCTTACACATAGAACCAGTGCCTGGTAAGCACTCAAGAAATACATGCTGGACAAAGGAATGGTCTTGCCAGGTACTGTGTTCTGGGTGCCGAGCACCCTTCCCTGAGCCAAACCAGGCCTCCTTCTTTCTCTTAGTAATCTTACTGGCTTTTGGGGAAACAAACAGGAGTCAAAGAATCACAAATGAATATGTAATTACAAACTGGGATATATACACTAAATTACGTTTGTGTGAGAGCACATGAGGTGGGGGTGCTGACCAAACCTGGGAGGACACTTCCCCAGGAAAGTGACATGCTCAAAGAGTGTGTGTGTGTGTGTGTGTGTGTGTGTGTGTGTGGACACTCTGTGCCCTCGAGGTCTAACTCTTCTTTTTCCTCTCAGTCCCAAATCCAAGGCCCGGCCATCCTCTCCCTCCACAACCTGGCACAGGCCTGCCTCCCCCTGCCTCAGCCCAGGGCCAGGTCATGCTCTGCCCCCCAAACCACCATCCCCCCGAGGCACCACTGCATCACCCAAGGGGCGAGTTCGGAGGAAGGACGAGGCAAAGGAGAGCCCCAGTGTGGTGGGGCCTGAGGACAAGACCCAGAGCAAGGGCAAGGCCAGTGACGAGAGGGAACCTGCAGCCCTGGCCTCACCGGCCCCCTCGCCTGTGCCCTCACCCACCCCAGCCCAGCCCCAGAAAGAGCAGCCCACAGAGATCCCTGCAGGTGGGCAGGGAGAGAAGAGGCCAAAAGGTGGGCAGGGCAGAGAAGCCAGCTTTGCCTGTGAGTGGGAGGTGGTCAGCGGTGCAGGCTGCCAGAGACGCCTGGGGGAGTGGATGTAGGGAAGAGGAGGTGCCTGCCAGAGACCAGGACCTCAGTGCTCTGAGTCGGTGGCGGAGGCTGGGTGGGTGGGCCGCTGGGGTCGCCCTGAGGTCCAGCAAGCCACAGGGGTATGGAGGTGGGGGGGATGGGAAGTGATGGAGGGATCTGGGCTGGTGGTGCATGCTGACTCCTGGTTCCGGATCCCGCTCCAGAGACAGCTGTCCTGACCTCACCCCCAGCCCCTGCTCCCCCGGTGACTCCTAGCAAACCCATGGCTGGCACCACGGACCGAGAAGAGGCCACTCGGCTCCTGGCTGAGAAGCGGCGCCAGGCCCGGGAGCAGCGGGAGCGGGAGGAACAGGAGCGGAGGCTGCAGGCCGAGAGGGACAAGTGAGCACGCCCTCGGGGACCGAGGAGGCCTTTACGGGGGCTGGAGAAAAAGCCGGGAATGAGTCTGAGTCTCCTGTGTCCCCCAGGCGAATGCGAGAAGAGCAGCTGGCTCGGGAGGCCGAGGCCCGGGCGGAACGGGAGGCGGAGGCCCGGAGACGCGAGGAGCAGGAGGCTCGGGAGAAGGCGCAGGCCGAGCAGGAAGAGCAGGAGCGGCTGCAGAAGCAGGTGCCCCCGCGGGACGGGGCGCGGGCGCCTCCTGGTGGCGGGTCGGGGGCCGGCTGGAAGAGACCGCCGGAGGCCGGCCGCCTAAGGCTCCCGGGGCCGGGGGGGTCTTTGGCAGAAAGAGGAGGCCGAAGCTCGGTCCAGAGAAGAAGCGGAGCGGCAGCGTCTGGAGCGGGAAAAGCACTTCCAGCGGGAGGAGCAGGAGCGGCAAGAGCGCAGAAAGGTACTGCGAGCGGCTGGCCGAGTCGTGAGCGGGACCAGCTCCCGGCTCGGTCCGCACTTCTTTAGAGGGGCTAGTGGGGCTGGGAGGGGGCGCTGCCTAGGTTGCAGAGGGTTAGGTCGAGAGGGAGTGGGGGCGAGATCAGCTTCCTGGCCTGGAAAGAACTGGTGTGAGCTTGAAGGGCCCCTGAGACTCCAGGACCAGAGCTAGCTGGTGGGAGGTCGAGGATTAGGGCCGGGCTTGGGCCTAACCGGAGTCGGGCTTCTTTCTGAACAGCGCCTGGAGGAGATCATGAAGAGAACTCGGAAGTCAGAAGCTGCTGAAACCAAGGTCAGGATGCCCCCAAGAGCGGTGTTGGGAGTGGAGGTCCGGTGAGGAAGGAAGGGAGGTCGCGGAAAGGCATTCAGGGTGGAGGAGCGAGGCTGTCCAGGATCTGGGGTGGGGGGGGGGGGTTGGTTTGGGTGGAGAGAAGAATTCAGCGCGCAGTCGGGTAGGGCCAGGGATCCCCTTGAGCCTGACTGCTCTTCCTCTTCAAAGCAGAAGCAGGACAGAAAGGAGGCGACGGCCAACAATTCCAGCCCAGGTAAAGGCCTGTTCCCCTCCTCTCCAGCCCTAGCCCCAGCCCCAGCCCTCAGCCTCTCCCCCACCCCTAAGTGATGGCCATTCCTTCCCAGGGATAGACCCTGCGAAAGCTGTGGAGGCTCGGCCCTCGGAGCTGCAGAAAGAGGAGCTGGCCCCCCAGGAGCCTCAGTGGAGGTACCAGCTCCCAAGCGCAGGGCCCAGGAGCAGGGAGGCAGGGTCAGGCTGGAAACCATAGGGCGCCTGGGCTGTCCTGCCATGGGAGCGGGCTGAGCGTTGGCCTCTGCATCCACAGCCTGCCAAACAAGGAGTCGCCAGGGTCCCTGGTGAATGGGCTGCAGCCTCTGCCAGCGCACCAGGAGAACGGCTTCTCACCTAAGGGACCCTCTGGGGACAAGAGTCTGGGCCGGACACCAGAGGCTCTCCTGCCCTTCGCAGAGGCAGAAGCCTTCCTCAAGAAAGCTGTGGTGCAGCCCCCGCAGGTCACAGGTAGGGATCCCTTTCTCTGGGACCTGCATCTCTAGCTCCCAGCAGCCTTCCCTGGCCTCCTCCGCCCAGCCCTTTCTTCTCCCAGCTCCATCAGAGGCCCTCTCGAGCTCTACCGAGAAGACCCCCGGCCTGGTTTTGGGCTTGGAGCCTGCTTTGCCCTGACTGTTTTCTCCCTCCTGCTTTCTCCCCAGAAGTCCTTTAAGGGGTTGCCTCGGATCCAGGCCTGGCTATGAGGGCTCTGCATCATCTGCCAGGGTGTCTGGAAGAGGAGACCGAACAAAGCCGGAAGTGGCCTGGGCCCCTGGGGGTTGGGTCCTCTCTGTTATTTTTAATCTGCACCTTATAGACTGATGTCTCTTTGGCTGGAGCCAGACCCTGCCCCTCAGTGCATTCGTGTGCTCACACGCGCGGACAGCCCCATACACACACATACACTCACAGCCTCTCTGGCTTCCTCCCATGGGGAAGAGCCACCTGTAGTATTTGCCTTGGTTTGGTGGGGTACAGTGGATGTGAATACTGTAAATAGCTTGTGCTCAGACCCCTCAGCGTGGAGGGGGCGGGTGCAGGAGGCAGACCCTCCCAAGACTCCCTGGGGAGAGCTTCCTCCCTCTATTTAACTGTAACTGAGGGGGAACCCAGGTCTGGGGATGGGGGGCACCTTGGGCCACAGGATATTGGTTGCTTTAGGGGTACCCATGCCCCCTGCCCTCGCCTGGAATCAGTGTTACTGCATCTGATCAAATTTCTCCAGAAATAAAGTGAGAATAATTCTGCCAGTCCTGTCTGTCCTTAGGGCTGCCACTGGGGTTGGGAGCAGGAGTCCTCCTGAGTTCTGAGAAGAACTTGAGGACCCAGTGGCCTGCGGATATCCAGCCCTACCTGGTAACCAGTCCCTGAGGTCCTGCTGGCAGCCTTCCATTTTGTCTTTCATTCATTCATTTAGCAAAAACGGTTACATCTACTCTATACTAGGCAGTGAGCTCTATGCCAGGGATGCAAGGAGGAAGAAAAGACATGGGTCTCTGTTCTCTTGGAGTCGACAGTCTAGCAGTGAGCATCAGAGACGCAGGAGCCCTCTCAGCATCCACTCCCATTGCCCCTTCCTCATTCCAGAGTCCTGATTTTGTGCAGGTGGCAGTCTTCCTCCTGGATCCACTATGTACTTCAGCAGAGGTGGCTCCTAAGCGCAGGGGTGCATCAGGATTGTAATCGACGGTCCCAGCCCCCTTGCGAGTGATTGGTTTAGGTAGGCTTAGGTATCTGCTGTAGTCAGCAGATACAAAGAAAACCCTCCCTCATTTTTTTTTTCCTCCCTCATTTTGAAAGAAAAATACCAGGTGGGAGCCAGCTTCTAAGGTGACCTCCCAGCATCTCCCACCACCTTGTGTTCATATCCTATGTAGTCCCTTCTCGTGTAGGACCAGGGCTGGGCTGAGTGATGATAGAATACAGTGGCAGTGGTGGTGTGTCATGTCTGAGATTAGGTCTTAAAAGACACTGCAGCTTCTGACTCAGTTGCTCTCTCACTCTGGAGGAAGACAGCAAGCCCTGCATTAGGAGCAACCTTATGGAGAGGCCCACCTATGGAGGCATCAAAGCCTCCTGCCAACAGCCACATGAATCAACTTGGGAGTGGATCCTCCAGCTGCAGCTAAGCCTTCAGGGGACTTCAGCCTTGGTCAATAGCTTGACAATAACCTCATGAGAGACCTTCTGCCAGAACCACCAGCGAAGCCTCTCCAGTTAAAATGTCACTTTAAACTGCCAAGTTCTATGACAACTTGTTACACAGCAGTAGTTAAATGAGACACATCAAGGAGGAGAAAACCCTGTTGGTATGTCCTACTGTGAGGCCTGGGATTGCTGTATCCATCCTGCTAACCTGAGGATGAAGACAACATCAAGGGGGCAGAGCAGCGAGATGGGGAAAACTGAGGTCCTTGAGAACACCACTGAATTGACCCACCTCAAAACTGGTCCTACCACTGGACAACTTCCCTTGTTGTTTAAGCCAGTGGAGTTGGGTTTTCTCTTATGGTGGTCAAAAGCTTCTAACCCATCTAGGGACATAGATGATAAATACATAAATGCATTTCTGAGTGAGCTAGGATGAAGGAAGTGAACTGGATGAAAAGCTCATCACAGGAAGACCTACTCAGAGAAAGTGTCCTCTAAAGATGCAGCATTTCAGCTTGACCTGAAGGATGAGAAGGAGCCAGCCATGTGAAACAGAGCAAGAAGAGTTGCAGGGGGAGGCCTCCGTACGTGAGAAGCCCCCGAGAAGTGAGTGCAGGACCAGTGCTGCCGACGGCCCTGAACTGTGGCAGGAGCCGGCCGGAGGTGGACAGGTGCGCGGGGCCGAGTCACAGGTATCCAGGATCAGATGCGCAGGGAAGGTGCGAACAGTCTCCAGACCCTCTCCCCATCCAGCTCCTTTGACACCCCTCCCAGCCCCCAACTCATGCATACCAAGGCAGAGATGCCATTTCCCTGAAGGCAGTACCCTCTGAATACTGCGGCTGGAGAATCACTTATTCATTTATTCATTCAATCAGTTGTGGAGCACCAGCTAAGCACCAGAGGGATATGATAGTAAGCAAAACCAGACTTGGAAGCTCTTGGAGCTTCCTGGTGGGAAAGACAGGTATGAACCAAATAACCACACAAATGGAAACATATAAAATGTGGTTAAGTGCTCTGAAGATGGACTATTTGATTAATAAGATCTCCTAACAGGAGGATCTAGGTTGAAATCAGATTAGATATCCTTGAATAAATGGTGTTTAATCTGAAATTAATGATGGCTGGTAGATGTTGACTGGGCAGAGGAGACAGAACATTTTCTAGACAAGGGAAAAAGCAAGTGCAAAGGCCTTGCACAGAAAGGAGATATGTTTCAGTATCTGGAGGAGTGTAAGCAGATCTGAAGGAGTCTAGTTTTACTCATCACTGGAGTCCTCAATGTCTGGTACCATAGGCACTCAATATTTGTTTAAGGAAGGGCTGTTGATAGAGATTATCATACTGAGTGAAATAAGTCAAACAGGGAAGCACAAATATATCACTTATATGTGGAATCTAAAAAAAAAAAACCACGATCCAAAAGAACTTATTTACAAAACAAAAACAGACTTACAGACATAGAAAACATGATACCAAAACATAGATACCAAAGAGGGAAGAAGGGGGATGGGATAAATTAGAGAAGTTTGGGGTTAATAGATACAAACTCTTATCTATAGATAACCAACAAGGGCCTACTGTATAGCACAAGGAACTATATTCAATAGCTTTTTAACTTTTAATAAACTATAATGGAAGAGAATCTAACAAAGAATATATATATATATATATATATACATATATATATACATATACACACACACACACACGCACATATATAAAATAAATTGGCTACACACCAGAAACTAACACTGTAAATCAACTGTGTTTCAATTTAAAAAAAAAAGAGAGGAGGAGGTGGCACTTGGCACAAAGTGAGCCAGACCATGTGGGGCCTTGTAAGACTGTGTCAGAGTCTGGATTTTATTCCAAGGGCCATGGGAAGACACTGAAGGCTATTAAATGGGGTGGGAAAGGTGACATGGTCAGACTGGCATTTTTATTAGAACTTTCTGGCTGTTGGGTGGGAAACCAGTAGGGACTTGACTGTAGGGACTTGACCAGTTAAGAAGTGATTACCAAGATCCAGACAGAAGATGATAGAGGCCTAAGCTCAGGAGACAGAGATGGAAAGAAGGTGTTATTTAGTCTCTAAGTCACTCTTTTGTGACGCTTGCGATGCCATGGACAGCAGCCCACCAGTCTCCCCTGTCTATAGGATTTCCCAGGCAAGAATTCTGGGTTGCCATTTCCTTCTCCAGAGGATCTTCCCAACCCTGGGATCAAACCCGCATCTCCTACATTGCAGGCAGATTCCTTACCACTGAGCCACCTGGGAAACTCTTGGAAAGAAGTGGGCCACGTGAATTTACTTATTTATTCAAGAAACATTGAACACCTACTATGTGCCAGGCGCAGAGGTGCTGGAGATTTTCAAGCACACAGAAACTGACATGGTCCTTATGCTCATGGAGCTTACAGTCTAGTGGAAGAAACAGACATTAATTAAACAATACTTACCAAATGGACAGTTACGATATGACAGATACAGGAAGGGGAAGCATGTGGGGCTAGGGGAGTGAGTAATGAGGGACCTGCCCCGGTCACAGAGGTCAAAGAGGATGTCCTTGAGAAAGCAATGCTGGAGTGGAGATCTGAGGGGGTAGGAGTTAACAGGACAGAAGGGTGGGATTCACTCCAGGCAGAGAAAACAGCAGGTGCAAAGGGCCTGTGAGGCCCATGGCCAGTGCATTTGAAACAGAATAAGGAGGAGGATGGGACCAGAGAAGGAGGAAGGACCAGACCATGCAGGACTTTATGGGCCATGCTAATAAGAGTTTGGTCTTTATTGCAAGAGCCACCAAGAAGCTGTTGAGAGATTTCAGCAGGAAGATGAGACGATCAGAATGAGGATTTGAAAGGATTATCAGATGGGACTTCCTTGGCCATCCAGTGGTTAAGACTCCACACATCCACTGCAGGAGGCATAGGTTCCATTCTTGGCTGGAGATGAACTAAGATCCCTGCAAGACTCGCTGCCAAAAATAAAAAATTATCAGAGCTACTACCTGGGGGAGGGATAGTGCAGACACACAGCAACAATTCTGATGAGATGCGTTGGCCACTTGATGCAGTGAGTGGGGGCGGGGGGGGGGGGGACCCAGAGGTAGAGAGGAATGAAAAATGTGGTACGAAAGAGGAAAGTGCCAAGGATGACTCCTAAGTGTTCTGAGTCAAATAACCACATGGGTGTTGGTACCATTCACTTAGGGAAGGAGCCCTGGAAGAGAGCCAGGTTTAGGGGGACAGATTGAGTTCCACCTGGAGGTCGGTGGTGAGTAACAATTTCTTGTAGGGACTGGAGCTCAGGGAATGGGTCTGATCCCACAGGCTGGGAGGAAGGGGCCAGCAGGTCGGGAGGGCAGTTCTAGGAGGGTGCATGGTCCAGGCGCCTAGGACCCGGGGGTGGGGCGCGGGGGAGAGCGCTGCTTTGCAAGAACTGGCTGGCTGCAGGGACGCCGGCCTCCCAGTCTATTTCCCGGTTTCCTGCGGAGCTTCAGGAATGTCCGGTCTGCGCTTAAGCAAGACCGAGGGGAGCGGAGGCGGGGGCAGAAAGCCTGTGCTCAGGAGGGCCCTTCCTTTCTCCAGCTCTGCTCCTCTCGCAACAGGGCCAGGCCAGGCAGGACCAGAGGAGGCAACAAATGCCCTTCCCTCGTCCTCGCTCCCTCCCAGCCACTGCTCCAGGGCTTCGGCCCTCTTAGAACCGCCCAACTCTTCGTCCGCCTTCTTCACCAGCTCCGCGCGCGGCTGTGCGGGTGAGGCTCTCAGAGGAGCAGTCCCTCCACCCCTCAGCCTGGGCCGGGCTACTCCAGGAACGGGCATCTGGCTCCCCCTTGTGGTGACATCGGCACATTGGCGCGCTAGGTCAGCTCGGAGCTGCCGGGGCCAGAGGCAGGGCCATGGCCGGGGTCCTGGCCGAGGGGTCAGGAAGTGTGTGTCCAGTTCTGGCCAGTGACTCACCCTATAACTGTGTGCTCTTCCCCTGGCCTCTCTGTGCTCCGCTTTCCTTGCCTGCAAATTAGGGTTAGTGATCTGGGTGAGGCTTTCCTTGGTTAACACAGAGTAAAAAGAGTTTTGTTAGTTTCAAGAACCCCTCTCCCTAACTTGAGGGGCCTTGACATCCGGTGGGGGCTCAACAACACCTCCTGTGTGCTACCAGCCCCCTTCCCTAGACCACTCCATTTCAGGACAGCCACATTAGACATACTCCCATTGGACTTCCCTGGTGCCTCAGACCGTAAAGCGTCTGCCTACAATGCGGGAGACCTGGGTTCAACCCCTGGGTCGGGAACATCTCCTGGAGAAGGAAATGGCAACCCACTCCAGTATTCTTGCCTGGAAAATCCCATGGGTGGAGGAATCTGGTAGGCTACAGTCCATGGTGTCGCAAAGAGTCAGACAGGACAGAGCGACTTCACTTTCACGTGGCCAGAATATGGTGATGCATGGGGCCAGGTCTGTACTGTCAGGGCGCTCAGTTTGGAAAGTCCAGGCACAGAATGGGACGGGAATACAAAGGAGAAATATTTGATCCATATCTCAGGGGCGGCTACTTGTAGGGGCTTGAGAATCTCCTTTTTTAAAAAAAAAAAAAAAAGATTTTATTTATTTTTCATTTGGCTCCACTGTGTCTTTGTTGTGGCGGGCGGGAGTTGCCTGCAAGGCGTCCCCCTACATTGGAAGGCAGATTCTTAAGCATGGACCACCAGGGAAGTCCCTGAGAAGCTTCTTTAAATTAAGGATTGAGAACTTCATGCCTCCAAAGGACAGCCACTAGCACTCAGCTCTGGTCCACAGTGGCTGGGTGGAATTGGATCCCAGCATTGCTGGCAATGGCCAGCAAGGGTAGAATGATGGTTGGGGTCTGCCCCTGTTGTGAGTAATAAAGGTGGAGAATTAAAGAATCATAGTAAGAGTAACTAAAAATCGGCCTGCTTTTTAAGATCACCATTCATTTTAAACAACATCAGTTAAAAAATGCTTCTCCCTGAAAAAAAAATGTATTGGTCTAACTTCATTGATCTTCCCAGGTGGCGCTAGTGGTAAAGAACCCACCTGCCAATGCAGGAAACATAAGAGACTCGAGTTTGATCCCTGGGTCAGGAAGATCCCTTGTAGAAGGGCACGGTAACCCATTCCGGTATTTTGGCATGGAAAATCCCATGGCCAGAGGAGCCTGATGGGCTGCTATCCACGGGGTCGCAAAAGAGTCCGACATGATTAAGCGACTAAACAGTAACAACAATGATTAGTGATATTAAGCATAATTTTTATGTGCTTATGGGCCATTTTTATATCTTCTTTGGAAAAATAACTATTCAAGTCGTTTGCCCATTTATTAATCAGGTTGTTTGTTTACTGTTGTTGAGTTTTAGGAGTTCTTTATATAGTGTGGATATAAATTACTTTTCAGATATGTGATTTACAACTAATCTCTCCCATTCAATAAGTTGCCTTTTCACTCTGCCGATAGCCCAAAAGTATCTAATTTTGATGAAGCCCAGTTTATCTATGTTTTTCTTTTGTTGCCCTTTCTTTTGATGTCATAACCAAGAAATCACTGCCAAATCCAATGTCATAAAGCTTTGCAAGCCCTATGTTTTCTTGTAAGATTTTACAGTTTTAGCTCTTATATTTAGGGCTGTGATTCATTTCAAGTTGGTTTTTGTAAGGTAATCAATTTTAAAAAATTAAAACAATAGAATTTCAGAGACAACTTACCCTCAGAGTAAGATTCAGACCCTGGAGACTTTAGGTGCTAGTATTCCTGAGGGTTGACTGCCTGGCCTTCTCACAGTTCTAAAGTTGTTCTCATCCTCTGCTGGGGCTTAAACCTCTGTGCAGGTGAGAGGTTGTGTGGTCCAGTGGAGAGCACAGATCCTGGGGCTGGACTTCTGAAGTTGCAGCCTGGCTCTGTCACTTAGAGTGGTGACAGTACTGAACCTTTCCCCCTTCACCTGTAAAATGGCAAGAGTGAAGGCACATACCTCACACGGTTGTTGTAAGGAATCAATAAAGTGATGTATATAAGAACTTAGAGGGAATTTCCTGGCAGTCCAATCGTTAGGACTCTGCACCTTCACTGCTGTGGGCCTCGGTTCAGTCCCTGGTTGGGGAACTAAGATCCCACAAGCTGCATGGCGCAGCCAAAAAAGAAGAAGAAAACTTAGAAAAGTGTCTAACACTTGATGAGAACTAGATAACATTTTTGTTGTTAACTTTATGCGGATGACTGCCAAATAAGAATCTGCAGTCCAGCCCTTTATCCTGAGGTTGACAACCTACATGTGTATCTGCCGGACATCTTGACTTGGACATCTTTTGGGCACTTCCAATTCAAGTCCAAATCTGGACTTAGAAATATCACCAGAGAACATCACAGGGTCCACCAGTGTTTCAAGCCAGGTGCCTGGGAAGTCACTCCTCCTGCTGCCTCACCTCTGCACTGTCTCCTGCTCCCTCCCCAGTGCCCCAACACCAGTTAGGCTGCTGTCATTTCTGCCATCCTAGAAAGAGCAGCAAGGTCCTCTCCTCTAATCTAGTTTCTCCAGAACAGCCATGCGACTTCCCTGACGATCCAATGGTTAAGACTCTGTGCTTCCACTGTAGAGGGCAAGGGTTCGATCCCCAGTCCGGGAACTAAGATTCTGCATGCTCTGTGGAGTGACAAGTGTTCGATCCCCAGTCCGGGAACTAAGATTCTGCATGCTCTGTGGAGTGGCAAGGGTTCGATCCCCAGTCCGGGAACTAAGATTCTGCATGCTCTGTGGAGTGGCTTCCTGAGTGCTGCTCACCTGGGAGCCCTCATACCCTTCTTCTCTTCTCTGTGTACCCCAAACCCCGGATTTGTGACTCCTCTCTATGTCTCAGGACCTTTGCATGAACTGTGCATGGAGCCTGGGACACTCTCCCCTGCCTGCCCTCCTCCCCGCCCCTCCGTAGTTGGCTGATGACTGTTCAGTTCTTAAATGTGTCTTCTTCCAGGAGGCCTTCTTTGACCCCAGAGCTCTGGACCTACCCTTGCATAGCAGATGATTTATTGTAACAATTTGTCTATTAAATGCTCCTTGGCCAGAACCTGAGTCACAACAGCAGGGACCTTCCAGCCTACCTGCTGTGTCCTTTGTAGCCCACGGTGCCTGGCACCCCATAGATGTCATCTGTGTGCAACAAGTGTCTGATGGAGAAACATGGCCAAGAGCGTGGACCCCAGGCCAGCTGGGGCAGTGAGGGGGGACTACTAGGAGGGTCGTGTTTCTGTGGTTGAGTGTCAAACTGGCAGGGACACTTGCCAAGTGTCCCAGAACCTGGGCAAGGATCAGGCAGCAAGTGCCCTGTATCTTGATTAGCTGGGAAATTTGTTCTTTGAAACCACTGCAGGGCTTGAAGTTGGGAGGTAAGGGACTTCCCTGGTGGTCCAGTGGTTTAGCATCCACCTTGTAATGCCAGGGACAACAGTTCAATCTCTGGTCCAAGAAGATTCCACTGGCTGGGGCAATTAAACTACTGAGCCACAACTACTGAGCCCACATGCCTAGACCCTGGGCCCCACAACAAAGGAAGCCACCACAATGGGAAGCCTGCACACAGTGAAGAGTAGCCCCTACATCTCTGCCACTAGAGGAAGCCTGCTTGCAGCAACAAAGACCTTCAGTCAACATGACAAGGCTCAGTCAAAAGTAATTAATCAGTTAAGTCAGAAGGTAACATGATTGGAGGTGAAACACCAGCCGGGCAGAATTGGAAGCTAGGTGGGCCAGGAAGACAGTATGAACAGGAAGACAGTTATGAGGCTGTGGTACTAAGATGTCTCTAGAAGGACACACACAGAAGTGGAGAAGGAATGTGGGTGGTTGAGAGGCAGGGCAGAAGAGACATTGCATTGCATGATCTTTTGTCCCTATGGAATTTTAAAGCAGATGACTATATCACTTGGTCAAAAAAATCATCTTATTTATTTATTTATTTTGCCACACTGCGGGAAAGTCCGCCAAAGATTATTTTAAAGAGCAGATGGATGGATTTCCCTGGTGTTCCAGTGGCTAAGACTTTGTGCTCCCAATGCAGGGGGGTCTGGGTTTGATCCCTGGTCGGGGAACTTGATCTTGCATGCCACAACTGAGACCCAGCGCAACAAAATAAATTAATTAAAGTAAATATTAAAAAAAAAAAAGTGAATGAGGAACTTCCCTGGTGGTCCAGTGGTTAAGAATCTGTCTTCCAATGCAGCGGATGTGAGTTCTAGCCCTGGCTGGGGAACTAAAATCCCACACATCTCAAGGCAACTAAGCCTTCACGACACAGCTACTGAGCCCTCACACAGCATCAAAAATCCTGTGTGTGGCCACTGACAAGTTAAAAAAAAAAGAGTGGATGAAAGGCATATATTGCAATTACCTATGCAGTGCATAGAGTCTACAACATTTGTGTGGGTTTTTTTTGTATTATAAACTAATGCTGACTCTTTAAAGAAAATGAGAAGATACATAAAACTAGGAATAATTTAAAAAAATAGAATCCCCAAAGTTCCCTCTACCCAAATGTGAGCATTGATAGGAACACTCCGTTTCTCCACCTGAAGCAGCTGGCAGATCAGCTGGGTAAGGACTGGAGCGGGAGGTTTGTTTTCCTGTGGGGCTACTGGATTTAAGAAATCAAAATACAGGATACCTGTTAAAGTAAGAATTTCAGGTAAACAGGAATAATTTTTTAGAAGTATGTTCAAATATGACATAGAATATTCTTACATTTAAAAAGTCTTTTTTGTTACCTAAATTCAGATTTACCTGGGCATCCTCTATTTTATGTGGCAACCCTAATGCATGCGTGCTAAATCACTTTGGTCATGTCCGACTCTCTGCAACCCTATGGACCCTAGCCCACCAGGCTCCTCTGTCCATGGGACTCTCCAGGCAAGAGTACTGGAGTGGGTTGCCATGCCCTCCTCCAGGGGATCTTCCTGACCAAGGATCAAACTTAAGTCTCCTGCCTTGGCAGGCAGGTTCTTTACCACTAGCCCCAC